ATATCTGATGGATTATTAGATGCACAGATGTAGAGTCTTCCCATTTATTTATTAATAAGCATTACACACAATTATTCGCTTCTAATATTAATAAATTAATTATATTTTCTTGTAATTATTTATTTAATCCTTATAACTTTTCATTGCTAATTGATATATTATTTTGTTGAGACATTAGAATACTTATTACAGGAATTATAATTTAGGTATATACTGCTTACCATTGTTTTATTAGTGCGTTTATCATTCACATACCCTCTTAACTATAATTTAAAAATCTTTCTGCCTAATTATAATTAATTTAAATTTTAGAATTTTTTAAAGGCTTTTAAATATATTCGCTGTTTTAGGTTTTACTGTATTTGACATTTTTTAACGAAGAGGTTTTGAAGTTTATTTTTGTATTTCTTTCGTTGCGGCGAAGTGAGAACTGAGTTGATTGAATGAGAAATATTTCTCTAGAGAAATTCAGGGAAATAAGTTTAAATGAAATTTAGCCGAAAATGTGCAGGAAGGCTGTACAAGGAAGTCAGGTACTGTCGACGGCAGATATTTTAATTAGAGCTGTCATTTGCATCAGAAAGTAGGGCAGATGCAAAGCTCAGAGCTTAACTCCGAATATCAAGTGTTATAGATGCGGAAAGAAGAATTCAAGAATTTATTGAATGAAGTTTTATACAAGAATTTATTGAAATTACTTAACTCTCTAATAACTGCTTTAATTTATTTAGCATTGTTATAGTTTCCTCGGATACTTTAGCGAGTCCTAGCTGCGAAAAACTCATGTCACGTTTTCAATTGCACCTATTTAGATACGTTAAAATTAAAGTAAGGAGTATTTTGTGTTTAAGGAGTTAAGGAAAATAATATTTAATAAAGTTACGCTTCGTAAAAATGCAGTTAATTTTCTCCAATTTAGGCTTTGAACAATTCTCAAATAAATCTCTTGGAGGCAAATAGGAAAGAAAAAGCAAACGTAGCAGCATAATTAAATGCGTGTAATCAAAAACGTTATTTTATAGCAGAAGACGTTTTGAAAATATATACATTTATATGCTCTAACTTTAGATTCTGATTGTCTTATTACTCTGACTAATTTTTTTTCTATATCAAGAAAGCTATCGCTATCTTAGAACTTAAAAATCAGCTAGTTGCTACATGAAGGCACACAGGAACATCAAACAGTCTTTTTCTATTTACCAGTTTTACAAGTACGGCAGACATACAACAGTAATTGAAGTATACTCTAATGGTTGTGAGGTTCCTTTATGTTAATTAACCAGTTATTTTATATTATGGATCTTTGCTGCCACTTCTGCTTTCTATTTTTCCCGCCTGAATGCAAAACCAGTTCGCGCGTATGTAAAGTGAGGTTAGGCCACTTTACCTTAGATAAGGTATGCAGTTTTTGGCCTTGCATTGTAACTGCCGATAATTGATTATCTGGGCAGTTTTGAGCCAACTTCGCGTTAATTGATTTGTGTAGCCTTTGGTTACTAGCTTATTTGTTTTTAAATCTTGCATTAGAACTTACTGTATTTTAAGTTATCTCGCCGCGGATAATTGGCTGAGATATAAACACCAAGCGTGCCTTCTGTTCGTATTCAGTTTCAGGTGCGAAGGGTCTTTTGCACTCTTCTCAAGTTTCAGTTGTGATTTTACACTTAGTGACAATTCTCTGCCATTCTATCTATATTTACAGTTTTGATTGCAAACAAGATTACAGTTATATGCATTTATAGTAATTCCAACAGTTACATACATTTAGAGCAATTATAACAATTATACACATTTATAGTAACTCTAACAGTTATATAATTTATAATAATTCTAACAGTTGTATGTATTTATAGTAAGTCTACCAGTCATATACATTTATAGTAATTGCAAGATAAAATTATCTATTGTTTGTAGAAGGAAAGCTTATTACAAGGTAATTAATGATGGCAAGTATGTACAATTATCTAATTCCTTAACAAGAAGAGATAAAACTCTAATTTACATTGATACCAGTTTCTCAAATAAAAATATCGATTTAAATTTATTTTATGATTAACAATGCTTTCTACTAATTTAACTTCTGCGTTAACCTTCATAATAACATAATGATTCCCCAGGCAATGAGTCTCGAGGCAAACACAAATTACCTAATAATCAATCGGCCACGCCTTAGTTACAAGCTTCTAGTTGTATAACGTTTATTTTAGCTAATCATTCTCTTTTAAATTCTGATTCCTGTTTGTACCTTCATATTGCAGAATACTTAAGAAGATTATATAAAATAAATTAGAGAGGAAGAAAAATATTTCTCATAACGTATGAAAACAATTAAAATTACTTAGTTCGTTTGACAACAGATTTATCATAGCTCAGTCATTTCGGCGGCAAGATTCGAAAGTGTTTAGAATTTACTATACCAGATATTTGCAACAAGAAGAAAATTCGCCGTGTGGTGAGTGCTAGATTATATTTTGCAGATAGTTTTACTGAAATAAAGCTAGGCAGTACTGTCCTCAGTTTTCATATTTTCGAGCATATGTTAAGGTGTAAATTTAAGGAAATCAAGAATTGCTTATTGTATTTTAATATTATAAGAGTCAAAGAAGTCTTCTACTTATGGTGCATTATTTTATCTGTCATATGCAAGTAATACATTTAAGAAAACATATTTAATTTTTCTATTTTATGGCGTTTTGTTCTGAAGTTCGTTTAAGAATGAAAGGATTAACAATAACCAATTAACAAAATTTTATGGTTATACTAGAATGGCAGAATACTAACTATTCTGCATGTTATTATAAATTTCATTACATTTCAAAATTCTAGCATTAGTAGTACTTGGAAAACGAGAACTCAAGCAAATTTTACAATCTCAAAGCAAAATAAAATATAGAAGTTTGTATGATTTTACTTTAACTAGCTAGCTTTGAATGTAAGATTTTAAACATTTCTTTTGGAACACTATAACTTATATATATTTAACCTCAACGAAGAGATGAAAACTATCGAGCATTTAGATAAAACAAGAATTAGGAATGATTTGGTTTGCGTGATTACGGCAAAGCTTCGAGGTCAATCTGCCTAAGGGAAGGGATGCCTTCGGGGAGGATTTCCCATAGAAAACTGCCTCGTATACACGCGAACTAGAAATGGATTAGAAGGCACAAATACACTTTGGTAGCTAATGAATGTCATCTTCGCTTCCATTGCTCTTTAAGTATGGAGTAAGTTTAGCTTATCCAGCGCAAAAGATAGCGTTAAGTAAGAGCATTAGACGCAGACAGCTCTTGATTTGACTCAGGACGACATTTAAGTGTCTTATTTTTTTCAAATTTAAGACAGTTTAATTTGTTTAATTCGTAAGCCTCAATGAACGTTGAACGTTTTGATTTGTTCAAGTTGTATGTCTCTCAAACTGCAGACGAAAATGCATGATTTTAGATATCTTTTAAACCTGAGTTTTTATTCACTAAGGGTAACCTTAGCTGCGGATAAAAATTAAATAAATAAGAGATTGTCGAAGATTTTTAACTTAAACTCAATTTTTGATACTTTTCACTAAATCCACAACTAAGTTTAAACTTCTAATTAAGTTTAAACTTAATTAAGTTTAAACTTAATTAAGTTTAAACTAAGTAAAAATTACATCATTTTTATAGTAAGAAAAAGAAGAAAATCATTTTAAAATTTAGAAAGAAAGTCAGAAAAATCTTCTTGTGGTTTTTAACTCTAATTTGAAAAATATGAGCTTACGAGGATTTTTTCGTATTAAATTTCTCATCATATAATATGCTCAATCATTCGAAAGCAATACTAAATTTTATACAGTATAGATAGCGGTGGGAGAATATATTCTTGACTACTTTAGTTCAAAATATAAATTTGTATTGAAATCATTTCTGATTTTCGTGTATTAATATTCCCAAAATGGTATGTTTATTTTTATCATCTCCTTTTAGGAATTTCATAGCAGCATTAGTGTGTTTTCAATATCTCTAGAAAGCGAAAATGAGATACATGCATCTAGAAAAACACTCTCAAAAATTGCATCTCTGGGTAAGCAGCACTATATAATTTGTTTCTTTTGATACACCATCTACAAATAAGACGTCAAAATCTATAATGCTTCATTTCAGACGGAATGAATTTTATTTATCTATACATTTAAATTTAAATGCTGACACTAGTTCTTGGAGAGAAACACCATTTAAAACAGCATTCAATCTCTCAAAACTACCGGACTAAAAATAAAAAATTCAGACTGCATAATTCATCATTCTTATCTTTGAACACTTCCTTGCTTCGTATATGATCTATTCAAAATAAAGCTTGTGGAAAAATGAAGAGGATTTCAGGAAATATGCAAGAAAATAGATTACAAACGAAATTTTCGTTTTCGTTTGGTCGTTTTTGAAATGTGTTCCAGGGAATATAATAGATCACTTCCAAAAGAACGTGAGAAAAAGGAAGAGGCGTTTGCTTTTGTTAAGAAAAATGACAATAGTCTTAAAGAGTTGTTTCTCGAATATTCTTGTTGTTTCAGGTTATTTAGAAATGCGCTTGAAGAAAAGTGGTTGGTGAAAAGTATAATTATCTCAGTATGTAATAATCTAGAATTGCGATTACTAAATGGTGTTCCCAGGAGAGTTGGAATTCTGTAAGTTGAAATTAAGATTTCGCAGATAAGAAATTAAGTTAAAAACGTCGAAGGTGTTTTTATATCCGAAAAAATGAAAAGGTGAGGGAACCAAATTTGGATTCTCCATGAATTATTTCGTATTCTGCATATTACTGTGTAATTAACGTAAGAGGCGAGGGTTTTTTTCGGTTACTGTATGTTATTCGCAACAAGTAGCGTCTAAATATTCCATACATGCCATCAAGAAAACCTGTGAAAATGTCGGATTATGATTGTCAAATTAAGTTTCAAAATGAGATTGTATACTTTTTTTTTCTTTAGCTTTATCATTAAGTATACATAAAACACAAAGGATACTTACAGACAACAGCTACGGTTGACGTCTGTACTATCGTTTCACCCAGGGCTTCACTTACAGCATAGCAGGAAAAGGTTTTAGTATCGGGATCCTGTAAGATTAAAAAGCGTTTTTTTAGCTATTTAGTGAAAAGGAGAGAAGAAGTCCTTAAAAAAGTATAAATGCAAAACTTATATAAATTAATTTAACATGAAACAGTGTAAGTTCACACGCTGAAGCTCAATAAAAATCAATGTAAATTAGCACAATTAATCTAACCCTATTTCTTAACAGATGATAAAAATTTTTGTTTCAACATAAATAATTTATATTCATCATGAAATGAAATGCATTTAAGTCGTAATGTCTAAAAGCTGTTCAAAGTCAGCTACTCATGATATTCCTTTATGCTACATTTTTTCTGTTTCAAAAGTTTTTTTATTAATCCAGTTACACTTCTAATAGATGTTACTGCTATAATATAAAAAGAATTCTGGCTTAAATTTAGTTTTGAAGTTATGAGTAATGCTGTACACAAACAATTTTCAGAAGCAAAATCATGGCATGAGAGAAAATTAATAATTTAAATATTTTAAAAAGGATTTTTTACATTAATATAATTTTAAACGGAAAATGACAAAAACAGCATTGAATTGATCTCTCTGTGGGTGCGCGTATTTCATTATATGATGGTCATAATTAAAAGGACGTTCCTGAAACCGCTATTAAATGGAGTCAATTTGCTTGTGAACCATGGAAAAAAGAAAGCTTCAATAAAATATAATAGTTCGAATTTCGACCTACAAATGAAAATGTGGCCTTTAAAAGAATAGGAAATTTGAATTCGAAACATAAAACTTTATTTAATTACAGCATTTATTCAATAGGTATTCCATTTGCTTCAATCACAGGTTCAAGGCGCTTTTGACCATGTTTAACAGTAGTATGAACAATATAAGAAGCTGCAAGAACATGATGCTATACTCTATGCTATACTTGCTTTCAGTTCAGGGAGTCCGTAGTTTCCCTCCATCGCTCGAACTCTCAAAATAACTTGCAATCAGAAACCACAAAGATTCAAGTTCAGAGAATAAGGATAATAGGTATTTGGAGAATTTCTCGAAATTATCCGATCAGCCTCAAAGAAATTCCTTTTCCTTTTTGGCTATTATATGGTTTTACACCATTTTACATGAAGACGTAATCTCTAAACATTCTCGTTCTTGTAACTCAGGGAAGATTTGCTGCTGCCGAAGTTCGAAGTAGTGGACATTCATTAAGGATCCTTCCCACACGGCCCTTCGGACTACATTTAGAAGAACTTTTCTCAAGGAAATAGAGGCCAAGAATGAAGTCAGCAGTAAACCACATCATATAGTCTCGTAATAAGAAAGCAGAAACGCTTATTGTACAACATTAGAATTTGCAATACCTCATATGATACGTTTCTTATAATTTTAGTGTTCTGTCTAGGACAAAATGTACCTCGTCTGAAAGCAAAAGTGCTCCAACTACGTATCGTGGACAAGAGATAGACAAAGCATGGCCTCACTCGAGCACTTGCCACAAGTGTTTGTAAGAGAACCTGATGGTAACATCCAGGGAACGAAACTCTACGAAAACAAAAGGAATATTTATTAAAAATAACGCAAAGTAAAGTAAAAAAGGAGAGAAGGGGGACATTCAGAAGCTCGATCTGATCCAAAGAAACGTCAGTACAAGGCTCTCATGGAAAACAGCAGTACAGACGCAGCGGACTGGGCTATTTGTAACACCAATGCAGAGTTACTCTCGCAGCTTCGAAAGAGCAGCAGAGAAAAATTAAAGGCACATTACACCATCATGCACAGCTTCCAGGCGGTATTCCGCCATGAAGAATATCGGGGATAGGACACTCTGGTCGACCACAGTAACAGCGAATTCCTCTACCGTTTCATTTGAATTGCACGTATTCTCTTCAAGTTTAGCAACTTAATTAAGTTACAAAGGTTAATTAGAAGTTCGATCTTCTTTCTATGGAAGGTATGACAAATAGTGATTTTATGGCATTCACTATTGTAAATTTAAAGTGTTCCTAATTTGCAAAACTTGCATTCTGCATTGCGTGAAAAGCGCCATCAAGTAGTTGAAATTGGAATTATTACTTTTTGCTTTTCTTTTACCCATAGCCCATATAACATTTATACCAAGTTTCAACGGAATGCATAAAACAAAACTGGCTCTATTCAAGTCTGAATAAGTTACTTTTATTTAGAACCACCCTATAGTATGGAATAAGAAACGATATATTACTGTATTTGAAATATATTGTTCAATCCATTTTTTAAATACAAACGCTAAAAAATATATCTGCACATACTTTAAAACTTATATAAATTACTTTGTAACTAAATTAAAAGACTTAAAACTAATTAATTTACAATAAATGTATTAATTTATTTCTAAATAATTGTTCAAATTTATGAGTTACGTAATATCTCTTCTCACAACAGGAAAAAAAACTTAGAGGAATAGCATAATTATGAAAAGAGTTGCATATTAGCGTAAGAAGAAATGGTTATCATTTTAATGCTAAACATATTTGAAAAATAATATATTATTTACCGTAATAATTTCTAGCTGAAATAAAGTTTTATTCTTTGAAATCCCTTTCGGCTCCCTTAAAATTAATTATTTTTCAAAGTACAGCTTATAAATTAATCTTTGACAACGACACACTGCTCAACTCATTTAAGATACTCTATCTATTTTGAGAAAGAGTTACGTTTTATAAGGAAAGTTTTAAACGAAAATCTATTACTCTTTGTCTAATAAAAATGGGATTAATGAGAATCTCAGGTATTTATAATGCTCTTTTTGGAATCAAATTTGAGTGAAAATTGTTTTATTTTCTAATTTTAACTTTGCTAGCTTCGAATTATAAATTATTAAAAATTTACTATGATGACTTTACATGTCACTTTAAATATGCCTTAAAACGATTAAAAATAATTAATATTAGAAGATATTAATGCACTTTACTTCCTAACAAGTTTCGCCAAACAATCAATACTAGAGTAATGTCACTTTATTTATATTTTCCACTTGTGAAACACATGCCATACATGTTTCAATTGGCGATTCGGACCAGCGCGATTCATGGAAAGTCAAATACTGTTGTTAATCAGAGCCTAAAAGTGCTGTGGTGAGGAGCGAAGTGCTGTAGTACAAAATGCTGTGATGGTTTCCTGGCTTCGAAATAAGAGGTCCAGAGCAAGCAAGAGAAAGAAAGTAAAGGCACATTACTACCTTCATGCACAGCTTCCCAGGGGCGGGTATTTCGCCATGAAGAAATATTCGGGGATAGGACACTCTGGTCGACCACAGTAATTAACAGCGGATTCCTCTACCGTTTCCTTGAATTGCAACGGATTACTCTTCAAGTTTAGCAAAATTTAATCTAAGTTACAAAGGTTAATTAGAAGTGCGATCTTCTTTCTATGGAAGTATGACAAATAGTGTGATGTTGTATGTATGGCATTCACTAATTGTAAATTTTTAAAGAAGTTGTTCCTAATTGCAAAACTTGGCATTCTGCATTGCGGTGCAAGGGAAAAAAGCCGCCATCTCCAAGTAGTAGTTAGAAAATGGAATTAATTCAACTTTTTTGCTTTTCTTTTACCATAGGCCATATTTTATATAACATTTATACCAAGTTCAACGGAACCTGATTTTTAATAAACAAAAACTGGCTCATTCAAGTCTGAATAAGTACTTATTTAGAACCAACCCTTATGAGTATTATGGAACTTTTTCTACTTTTTATTACTGTATTTGAAATATATTGTTCAATCCAATTTTTTTAAATACAAACGCTAAAAAAAATATCTGCACATACTTTAAAACTTATATAAATTACTTTGTAACTAAATTACAAGACTTAAAACTAATAATTTACAATAAATGTATTAATTTATTCTAAATAATTGTTCAAATTTATTGAGTTACGTATATCTCTTCTACAACAGGAAAAAAACTAGAGGATAGCATAATTATGAAAGAGTTGCATATTAGCGTAAGAAGAATGGTTATCATTTTAATGCTAAACATTTTGAAAAAATAATATATTATTTACCGTATAATTTCTAGCTAAATAAAGTTTTTTCTTTGAAATCTTCGGCTCCCTTAAAATTAGATTATTTTTCAAAGTACAACTTATAAATTTCTTTAACGACACACTGCTCAAACTCATTAAGATACTCTATTATTTGAAAAGATTACTTTATAAGGAAATTTAACGAAAACTACTCTTTGTCTAATAAAAATGGGATTAATGAGAATTCAGGTATTATAATGCTCTTTTTGGAATCAAATTTGAGTGAAAATTGTTTTTTTCTAATTTTAACTTTGCTAGCTTCGATTATAAATTATTAAAAATTACTGATGATTACATGTCACTTTAAAAATCCTTAAACGATTAAAATAATTTTAATATTAGAATATTAATCACTTTCTTCCTAACAAATTTCGCCAACAATCAAAACTAGAGTAATGTCACTTTTTTATTTTTACAGAACAATCTAATGTTCTGCTGCCCCACTAATCTTGGTATTAAAAGTTTAACGAAGGTTATCTTTAATAAGGTCTTAATCCTTTTCTCTGATTTAAATGACTTGTTAAATAACTACTTGCCGTAAAGGTTTCTACTTCCTCTTAGGGAGGAAAACTAAACTCTTAAGAATTTGCCAACTAACAAATTTTAGTGATCGTATAGTGAAACGTGTACAGCATTTTTGCGTTGTGAAAAAAATGCATCCCGGGACCGCGCCGTGAGAGGATCGAAAACATAAAACATATACAAGATATAAAGGAAAAGTTCATATTAAATATATAAAGAAAACATACTGTAAGAGGTTCCAGATTAAATATCAGTTTATTCAATTACAATCACAATAAGAAAAATCTTAACCTCATCTGAGAGTCTTTTCATTTAAATTCATAAAAAAAACTTAAGGTTTGTCTGGTAATTTAAAAGAAAGGAAAGGGAAACAATTTAAGGCCTGAGAGTTAAATTTTAGATTCGACGTTGTTTTTTACTGCTAAGGACGTTTTTGAAAAACTTGCCTAAAGTTC